GTCATTTAGGACAGATTTATAAAAGCACTATAGGCAATTAGTTAGTACCTAAATACTTTCGAATGTAATTTTTTTTTGCAATTCGCCCGCTTTCCCTACCAGAGAAATAAATATATTATTCAAGACTATGTATTATTCTAGACTTGAATCTCAGTTTTATTTTACATTAAAATTCATTCAGTTATATTTACGTTAAGAAACAAATATTCATCCATCCATTCATCCATTCATCCATACTTGCAAAGTCTCGCGTTTATAAAATTAATAGGTTTAAAACGTATTTGTTCAAAATTTTATTGAATTTTTTTTTCCACTAGGCTTTTCTCTTATGGAAGACATAGGAGCTACGTTTACAAAATGCAAATTCACATACACATCACAACTAGAGCTGGAACAACAATTAGCAGGTCAGAAGAAGAAGGAATCGCGCCACGTAAAAAAAAGTTGTTCACTTGACGACTATATATCTATAATTCCTAATCACTGACTGTCTGTAAAAGCTTGTCTGTAAAAATCCAAATGTTACATACATTTATATATAGGTAACATAATAATATATACGAATATTAAAAAGTAAAAAAAATAAAACCCAACTATGACAAAAAAACGACGCTGAAAAAGTATAAAACAAGATTTTCAGAATACTGAAAGGCGTAGTCACACGTCGGTTCTCTACTTTTTTTTATATGGTGTACAAAAAAAGGAAAGTAATATTTCTAAGACCAAATGCAATATACATAATGTCACATTATTATTTCTGTTTAATCCTACATGATACTAGACTAACATACTAATTAACAAAAGAGGACATTTCTATGAATATGAAAATACTATCATACAAAAATGTTTCTATAAATGTCCTTGTATGCAAACATGGCTGCCAAAATACAGCCAATTAAATGGCGCTCCATTCAAAACTAACGATGTCTCTTCACTAGACTCATTTGTAAGGGTTGCAATCACAAAAAACACGTAATTGAGATGTTGCCATACGAAAAATATTAAGGCAGAAGTTTAATGCAATTTTACTTAGCATACGAGTAACTTGAATAATACTATTTAAGGCTGATTTTGCAATAGTCAGATATATGTTATCTGAGGAATAAAATTGTTGCTGTCACTGTCTTATACAAACATTCTTACGCGACAGCATCATAATTATTCCACAGATAACTTTAATCTAACCATTGAGAAATCAGCCCTTAAAGAAAAAAAATCTTTCCAAGTTACTCTAAAACCACTTTTGAAAAAAGAACAAAAAAAAACGACCGAATATTATAAACAAAATAAAAAATAAATAACAAAATAAGCCCATGACAAAATAAATTATAAAACGTCACAACTACAAATCAAAAACCGAACGAAAATCAACTTAAAATGAAGAGCATTAGCAATTATAATACGAGTACCATTTGTAGCACTTATGTACTAAAGCTGTAATGATTGAGCGCTACAATTAGCCTTTACGCATACAAACTCAGTCTCACAACTGATGTTGGTACAATTACACTTAAGTTCTATGTATGACGTCACTTTGCATCTAATACTGGCAATTAGTATTTGAGATATAGTTAACTAGTTTTTGCTCACGACTCCGTTCGCGTGGAATAATGACTTCCTGTAGATTTTTGGTATAAAAACTATCCTGTGTCCTTTCTTTCACAGAAATCGGTTCAGTAGTTTAGGCGTGAAGAAATGACAGACAGACAGACAGACAGAGTTACTTTCGCATTTAAAATATTAGTATGAGGGTCAAATCATGGCAAGTACCCATGTGACTTTTCCGAGTTACATGTACTTTCTATGATTATTTTGACACCACTGACATACGGTGAAGGAAAAGATCCGAAGAAACGTGGACTTATAATTTCTAATAATAAGTTTGAAATCGCCAATCCACCTTTAACAAGCGTTAAAAGAGGCTTTTGCTCAGCAGTGGGCTGGAAACAGTACAGTTTCGAAATATTGTTTTTTTTTTGTATGTTACCTAATAGTTCAGCAAGGATTTTAAAAACCAAAACGCTTTTAAACTACTTACAAACTAATACAATAAAAAAAACACATAACCCTCCTTTTGCTTTGCCGTAGTGGGGAAAAAAATAGAAACATTATTAACGAAAATACAATCTTATTCTTACTCATGTTCATGAATAAGAGTCCCGTTGTGACTTGAAATTAGTCGAGCTATTCTCAATTCACTCACGTGACTAAGTTCTTATTTTCAATAAATTTAATATGTCTCACGGTACTTATTACAAATAAGGTCTCTACGACATAATGGACGCTAAAAACGATCTTAAATACTAATAAATAAAGTATATTATATAATAAGGTACTCTCTGTGGCTTAGCGATAAAGGTATTTAGTGTCTATTCATAAAGCGAGGGCCGGATTAACCGGTTTATTTTCACCCTCACGTGATCTTTGAGAAATGGGGCGCTTCTTATCGCGTTCAAAACGGGCGCCTAAGACTTAACGATTATAACTTTGAATTTCATATATATTTTGTACTAGCGGCTCTCGCGCGGTTTTTCGGCTCCATTTGATCCTAGCGTGATGTTTTATAGCCTATAGCACTCAGGAATATTGTAGCTATCTATAAGTGAAAGAATATTGGCAATCCGACCAGCGGTTCCAAAGATTACCCCCTACATACAAACTTATAAATTTTACCTTTTTATAATATTGGTATAGAATTAGACTGCACGGTTGTCCTGTGGCCGGGCAACTGGCTGCCGCACAACATGTCGCGGGTCCGATTCCCGCACGGAACAACTCTTTGTGTGATTCACAAATTGTTGTTCCGGGTCTGGGTGTGATGTGTATGTGAAATTGTATGTTTGTAAACGCACCCACGACACAGGAGAAAAACCTAGTGTGGGGCAACAATTTATTATAAAAAAAATATAGAAATGAATAGTTAATAACGAAAGGAGCGACTTAGTTAAGAGCTGGATATGATCTTGAAGGTAATTCACAACAACGGTGGGAAAATCCATATTATAAAGTTGTAGAGCATGTTTGTTTCAACGTTCCAATCTTCGAAACCACTGGTTCAAATTGAACATTATTTTCTGTAAGGCCATTTGTCGAGAAAGCAACTTAACCCTGGCTGAACATCAGCCCTATTGGGTCCTGTAGTGGTCTGTTTGCTCCTTAAGGCGTAAAACAAAAGACCTGGTCCTCTTTAAAAGCCCGACAAAGTACTTGTGTTGCTCTAACCGCTTTCCGAACATCAGATCTTGGGTGGCGCTGACTACTTACCATCAGGTAATAACTCTGTTCATTTTCTCTTCGATAAAAAAATATATTGCTCGAAAACTTTTCTTATAACCAATCTGCCGATAAGACAAATAAATGGAAGCAAAAAAGTCGTAATTAGTAGTTTCAGTAACTGTATCGATATCGTATTGCGTTACCTATTTCCAAGAATTCATTAATAACAGTTCTGAAACAATGTTATAAATAATTGGAATGTTTCGTACCAAAATAATTTAGCCATATTTTCGCTTATTTATTAATTAACTAGTTTTGCCTGTGGCTTCACCTGTGCGGTCAAGGGGAAAGTGTAGTTATATAACAATACTAGCTACGCTCGCGCGGTTTCACCCGCTGCACGGCTCCTTTTGACCGTAGCGTGATGTTTTATACCCTATAGCACTGAGTAACATTGTAGCTATGTATCAGTGAAAGAATTTTGGCAATCTGACCAGCGGTTCCAAAGATTACCTCCTACATACAAACTTACAAATTGTACCTCTTTATAATATTAGTATTTAGTATAGATAATTTACTAAAGTATTTTTAAAATGATATAACTACATTTTTCCTAGGTAAACTAGCTGCCCGCCCCCATTTCGCATGGATCCAACTATCTCGCTAAAAGAGTCACTTTCCCAATTTTCCCCTTGACATTTCTAAAATTTTCTTTGTTAAGAACTTTCTCCTGACAATAAATATTGAGAAAATTGGTCCAGGCGTTCTTGAGTTATGCACTTACTAATACGAACTAACACTTAAATAAAAAATGTTAGCAAAGACTTTATTGCTTCTTTCTTTCTTAGATTTATAAACTATTTCTTATTACTTAAATATGTCAAAACTGTAATACTTAATTACCGCAGCTTGTGCCTGAAAAAATACCTCCTCTAAGGTGTCAAATTATATTTCAGACCCAATAATATACCATACTAAATTTGAAAATCCAAAAACACTTAATACTACTTTCCCCGATTTAGTTACCTTACCCGAAATCCTCTACTCAACAGTGGCGCTTGTGGTATCCAAACAACCAAAGAGGCTGCTATAAAAGAAGTCGAGTCAGTCAAGTACATCACTACATAGTATAAAACAAAGTCGCATTCTCTGTCCTTATAACCCTAAGTATGCTCAAACCTTCCGATGTTAATGATAGTCATTTTAATTTAAATGTAAATCTAAAGTGATGTGAAACTGAAAATTGAAGTTAAATTTCATTATTGATTCGTTATCGAACATTATAATTAATTTTCACTACAATGAATCGATTGTGACTTCATACGACGGAGTCAATTAAAACATATTGCTAAATGGCCCATGATTTTACAACTTTCGAAAATATATATTTCTGTTAAACTGGGATAATGAATTTTTTGACGTAGTTTTGCCTACAATTTAATGAGTTCCAATTTAAAAAGTTGTGATGGTAAAGGTTACATTTAAAAAAGGTGCACCCACCTTTCACTTGTTGTTTATATTATTAATACCATATTTTGGGGTGAAATTAAAAGATACAATTTTAAAATTTATAAATATCTAATTATTGCCTTTTTACGAATAACACGGGCGACATACTGGATTTAATTACAATCCAGTAAAAACAAAAACTACCTACACAATAAACAAAAGTAAAATAAAAACAAAAACTACCTACACAATAAACAAAAGTAAAATAAAAACAAAAACTACCTACACAATAAACAAAAGTAAAATACTAACCTAAAACTTTTCTTTGTCCACAGATACAAATAGACATCACGGATGACATAACGAGCAAAATGTCAATGTCAACGAGGTAGCCATTACGATTTCAAGATGGCGGCACACGACAAAGATTGGGTCGACTACTTCGGCGACTTTAACGACACAAGACAAATTGTTGACAGTGACAGCACTGATTTAGATATTTCAAAGCTTAATTATTATGATAACCAGACTGGCTACCCTGGCTATTCGAACTTTAGTTCTGATGATTTCTGCCTATCAAATCATTCACATTTTTATTTGAATGTCACCTGCGAATTCCCGATCAATTATGCTGAACCTATGTATGGGTGAGTATCGTTCGTATATTATGGTTGTTACAGTAGTTGTATATATAGAGTAGGTATCTATATATTATAAAGAGGTAAAATTTCTAAGTTTGTATGTACCCTACGTACAAACTTACAAATTCAATGTTTGGCACCGGTGGTCGTTCAAAATCGACTCTATAAATTAATTAATGGTTTGCGTATTTCAGTCAAGATATCGCTTGAAGCGCTGCTATTTTTACACGCGTGCGTAGTCGCGCGAGGAATCGTGTTCACATGTAAAAAGTCGTACATAATAAGTACAAAAAGTGCCAAGTCCTAAAGTGACTTTTTCTGGGTTACATTTCTTTGCTAAGATTATCTAGACAATAGACATTAATAACATACGGCGAAGGAAAACATCGTTAATAAATCTGGATCTGTATAAGTTTGAAATCGCCAATTCAACTTAGGTAAAGAAAATACCTAATAACACTTTATCTAACCTGATATCGAACTTAAAAGAGGAACAAATAAAATTTCATCGTTACTTAATAGTCTTAAACTGTCGATTGTTGGTTTGGTTGTTTATTTGTTTGAACGCGCTAATCTCCGAAACTACTGATTGGAATTGAACAATATTTTTTTCGTTTGTCCATTTATCAGGGATGGCTATAAAACATCACCCTACGATCTGTAGAAGCCTAGCAGCGGTTGACAATGCGCGAGAATAGTTAGGTTACAAATATTTCTCAAGATTTAAAAAAAAGCAACGTTTAAAAAAAAACTAACAAAAAAGTATTCTCAAGATTTAGAGATCAAACAAGAATAGTTTAATCGTTGTTACATCCACGAGTTACTAATAATATCTTATCTACAAAAGGCCTTTCAAATAAAAAATATATACATATTTGAAACATACGTAAAAAAACATTACCTATACCGACGAAAATAAACTTAATCCATATAATCTATAGTCAGGTTTTTTTAAAAAAAACATTATTCCAATGAAAATAAACTTAATCCGTCTAACATATGGAACATAAAACTTGGCCCAGTTACAAATATAGTATACATTGAAACTACTACAAAACTGACATCACTGAACAAAATTACTGAAATACATCTATATTTAGGGAACATTTCTAAAATATTACATTTTCTTAAGAAGGTTCGCTGAAAACTCTTACGCTTCGTTTCTGTAAACACTTTCATGAAATAAATTCAACTTGGCTCTCAACTCGATTGGAAAAACAAAGGGTTTGAGTTAATCCTGTTTTTTTTTAATTCGATAATATTTATTTTTAAAAATTCGTTAATATTTATTTTAAATTTTTGGTAATCAAATTAAGAATAAGAACGTTTTTAGGGTACCGTCATAATAATTATACTTTTTTTTAACAGTTACATTTAAATAACACGATTATGCTAAATGTTATTAGTCCTTCCAATAATGTCGATGATAGAATTAATTAAGGAATACATCTAGTCCATAAACGACCCAGTGCAAGCGCAATAAAGTACCGCTTTTCCTGCTTGGAGTAGGATAAGAAACAGGGTGGCTTTTAGTCAGTAAGAGACTGACTGACTAACACTTTGAGTCTACAGCCTTAGGTCAAAAAAAAATCATACGATGATTTTCCCTCAACGCAACGCAGCCGCTACATCTTCGCTTAATTTTACCATACCGCTATAGAGCTGCTGCGCAGCAAGCAATGTGTAGCAAAGTAGAGACGCAAAAAAAATAAACATACAAACAATCAAATCTTTCTTCTGTACAAAATGTTTGATAGTTTTTTTTCTGTGTTAATACTTTGTGGGTGGGACTTAATATTAGTTTTTTGAAGATTTTTGAAGAATAGCTATCGTAATGAGTATTAATTATGCAGCTTTGAATTATAATAATATAGATTTTCTATAAATTTTATTTATTTATTTTGCGCATAAAAATGTAAAGTTAAAAGTCGTGGTCTCAATCAGTCGATCAATCAATCACAATATTCCAAATATTGTTGAGTTCACTGGTATCATTTATTTGTACCTTATTCATGATAAGGCCGAATTCAAAAGGTGATGCCAATCTTGAGAAATCTAATGGTACCGTCAAAGTCAGATTTTTTAAAAAAAGAACGTTGGGTTACACCTGCATTTTCTCCTTTGTCGTGCATGCGTTTACAAACATACAAATTCACACACACACCCAGACTCGAAACAACAATTCGTGGATCACACAAAGTGTTGTTTCGTGCGGGAATCGAACCCGCGACACGTTGCACAGCAACCGATTATTTATTGCCCAGCCACTGTGCTAGACGAGCAGTCTATACAGAAATGCAAAATAAATAAAAAACAATGAAATAATTGTACAGAACCCTTTATAAAACTCCGAATAACATTTTGTCGATGAATTCCTCGAGAGAAAATTTAGATTTCCTATTAAGCAAAGATGAGTTTGTTTGGGAAGCAATATAAAGGGTGCTCCCCGTCCACGATTTTAACACGAATCCAAATATTATTTTAAAATAATAGAATATTTTGACTGTCCCATTGATCGGGTCGCTAGGAAGTTCAATCCGATATGTATTAAGCTTGAGCTTTTATGGAATAGGAGGAGTTGAGGATAAAGGAGTTGACGGATCACCTGATGGTAAGCGATCTAAGCTAAAGTGTGGGAGAACCAAGCTTCGGCACGAATTGGTTGACTCGACTGGAGTGATACCACGGCCTCACAGAAAACCGGCTTGAAACAACCCCAGCGTTGTGTTTCGCCGTGTGAGTTACCGGAGACCCAATCCCTCCCACTCCCATCCCTTCCCAATCCATAAATACCTGAAACCCTAAACTCAAAACCCTAAACTCTAACTCCTTTTGTGTTTCGGGTGTCCATGGGCAGCCCTAATTGCTTACCATTAGGTAATCCGTCTGCCCATTTACCGATCTATTCCATAAAAAAAACAATCTGTAACCCAAATATACCTACGAAGTCATAAGCGCGTTACTGGCCTTTTATGAATTAGTACGCTTGTTTCTTGAATGTTTGAAGGTCGCATCGGTTCAGAAATACGATGTACGAGTAATTAAGTATTAGGTAACATTGAACTGAACCAACTTTAAAAAGGACAGAACGCAATATTAACTTTTCTGGTTTTGCGAGTATCTATGGACGGCTCCGATTGCTTACCATGAGGTAGGTAATAAGAGAGCTAGTTTGTCGCCATATCCGAAATTGGCGTATAGTAAAAGACTTGCTTTTGTACGTGTTTTTACCTGTAAGACTAACAATGAAAGGAAATTGGATCCTAGGCTACCTTGTTAGCCGGATTGTCCTAGGTCAGGAACTTTGGTTCTATTCTAGAATTAAATTAGTTGGATTTTTCAAATTATTAGCATCTAGAATGATGACACCCATACCTATGGGTGTTTGCGTGTTTTATACCTACTAATACCTTATAACCTATACCTATTTATACTTACCTTAACTAACATACTTGTATGTTTATACAATACTAGCTACTCTCACGCGGTTTCCCCCGCTGCTCGGCTCCACTTAATCGTAGCGTGATGTTTTATAGCCTATAGCACCCAGGAACATTGTAGCTATCTATCAGTGAAAAAACATACATACTTACAAATTTTACCTCTTTATAACATTTCTATACTAATATTTAGTATAGAAATGTTATAAAAAGCTGTCGAACAATCAATATTAAATTGTCATGTAAAGGTAAAAAACTTGATGAAACCTAGACATTTAACTTCAAATATTATAAGTTCAAAACGACCAATCCTTTTTGAGTTAGCAAGACAGTTATAACTCAAACCTTTTGCGTGTAAAAAAGGGCTTTGCTCTGAAATATATATTTAAAGGCTTATGATACTACTAGCTAATATCGCACGGTTTCACCCACTACTCGGCTCCTACAAGTCGTAGCGTGAAATTTTATATCCGCCTTCCTCAACAAATGGACTATCCAAGATTAGTGCGTTCAAACAAACAAACTCCTCAGCTTTATAATAAAAAAAGTATAATATAGATAAAACCTACATCCCCATTTATAAAATCATCCATATTAAATACATTTTTCTCTTTACAGATACATAGCACCATTTCTTCTGGCAACGACGACAGTGGCAAATACATTAATAGTGGTGGTTTTATCAAGACGTCATATGAGAACGCCAACGAATGTAGTCCTTATGGCTATGGCATTATGTGATATGTTCACAATGTTGTTTCCAGCACCGTGGCTCTTCTACATGTACACTTTTGGTAATCATTACAAGCCCCTGAGTCCAGTCAGAGCGTGTCAAGCATGGAATTATATGAATGAGGTGAGTTTTTCTTTTTTGCAGTGCCGGCGTTAGGGGGCGATGGCCCAGGGCGACAAATTCTGGGGGCTCGCCAAGGTCTGAAGTTGGAGTTTCTTGCCTCTCCTGGTGCAAACCCTCAGAACTGTGCTCTACGCCCTTTTGCATATGCATATTTTTATGGAAATTTTTGTAAGATAGATTTTTTGAGGATTTGTGGTCGAGGAGTGACTCTAACGATATCAATACGATCATACGGTAGCGGTATGCCCTGCCTGGGCTGAGCACCGCCGTATCCTCAGGGAAGTGATCGGAGGCGGCGACCTCCGCGCCCGGCCTTAGTCGAGGCCATGGTGCGGAGTGAGTGGAACTGGGACGCCATCTCCTCCTTTTGTGAAGCAGTCATGCTCGCAAAGAGAGAGGCGGCCCGCGTGAGAGAGCAATCCTCCTCCTCACGCCCCAGCAGCCGCAACTGGCGACACTACGGGCGTCGGGGATCAAGGGACCATCTCCGGTCACCGTAAGCACGGGCCTGCGGTCGGCGAGTAAAGGCCCGAGCGTACGGCACGTAGCGTTCCGCGCGCGCCTCAAAAAGCCATTAGACCACCACAGACGGGGCCCTAAAGGGCTGATGTTCAGCCGAGGTTGCGGGGTAAGCGCAATGAGGCACCGCGACCTCGGCACATAGCAGGAGAAGGAACAGGGGGATTTTTAGTCAGTAAGAGTCTGACACTCCCTTCTGCCCGGCCCTGGGCGGGAGAAGTCATTTGGAGATGATTTTCCTTCCCCTCACAAAAAAAAACGATATCAATACGATCAGCAAAAAACTAACACTTGATATGGCTTCCCTCAAGTGGGCGCTACAATATTTTCGCCTGGGGTGTCAGTGGCCCTTACGCCGGCACTGCTTTTTTGTTTACTATATTGTGACTTCACTGTTTATGTTTTGCATATTACAAGTTAAAGGAAGCTAAGTAGGCAGACTGTTGGTCGATTGTTTATGTTTTTTTAATCTTCTTAACTTACCCCACTTGTATTTTTGCTGTGTCATGGTTGTGTATACAAACCTGAAATTTTACATAGACCCTATAGGTACACGTTGTTACGTGCGGGAATCGATCCACAATACATTGCTCGGCATCTAGTTGGTTACCTACTGCCACGCCAACCTCTCTCTTATATTTTATTTCTAGGCTTTTATAGACTATTTCAATATCGCCCCACTGAGATTGGTCTTTAGTGAATTTTTGGATCTTGATCTGAATAGCTACTATGTACAGATAAAAGACAATGACCAAATTGATCCTGTGCAATAAAAAGAATCTGAATACACGATAATTAATGGTCTATTTTATTATTTAAGTTGCCAACATTTTTTAACACGGTCAAGCTGTATTCCAAAATGTGCATTTAATTGTATTTTACATTAGTCGTGCTATTTTCGCTGGCGACTGGTACCTATAGCCGGTTTTATAGGTAGGTATACTGTTCAAAAGTAGCTTTTGAGATAGTTATTTAGCTTGGTTCTAAAAAATTACAGAGAACTTTGAAAAATTACACTTGAAATTCGTTATTTTGGTTAAATTATAACCTCAAAATCTGATTCTTTTTTTAAATATATCTACACTGCAGCTAGTCCGCTATAAAAATTAATTCGTAGATATAGAAATTTGCTAATGTTAGAGACTACAATATATATACTTCCGATGCTCTTGGCTCCAGGGCCAACACTAAAGGAACGCAGAGCAATGTCCTTTGAATATGGAACCTAATTTATACGAACTATGTACCACATAACAATATTAGATACTTGCTTACCTATACGATAATATAAGGCACGTAGAAAGAAAACGACACTCAAATCAAATCCGTCTTTAAGACGATGTGTTTGCAAAATTTATACCATACAACCCGGATATATGTATTTATACCTATTGAAGAAGTACCTACGTAGCTTTATGACAATGGAAAATTTTAAGGTTCATTGAAGCGCCTATAAAATATTTTATGTGAAACAGTGCTGTGTTTCTTATTATCTTGTTCAAGTATCAACGTTTTCATTCCTAGTAGGTATTGGCTTTAAAAATGTATTAAATTTTACTTTATTAGCTACCTATACAGCGTGGTCTAATAAATCACGAAATGTTTTAAAGTTTTTGAATAATAACTTTTTTTTTATTGTGTAAGTCGGCAAACGAGCAGTCGGATTACCTGATGGTAAGCAATCGGCGCCGCCCATGGACACCCGCAACACCAAAGAGTTACGAGTGCGTTGCCGGCCTTTTGGGGATAGGGGTTGGGGATATAAGGATCGGGCAGGGATAGGGGAGGGGGAGGGATTGGGCCTCCGGTAACCTCACTCACACGGCGAAACACAACGCTGTGGGTTGTTTCACGCCGGTATTCTGTGGGGCCGTGGTATCACTCCGGTCGAGCCGATCCATTCGTGCCGAAGCTTGGCTCTCCCACACTCAAACCACTATCGTGTAACTGTGTATCTGTATAACTATCGTGAAACACACTTATTTAAAATACCGACTTACGTGAATTATTTACCGAGAAAAGCTCTACTAGTTACAATTCACAACGGGACTCTCATTCATACGTTTTAACTACATAGTAGAATTTTGAGTTCGTTCGGTATTTTCAAAAAATCGATCGATCTGTTGGTCAAATTGAGAAACGAATTGTAAAAGACATTAATATATCTGAGGTTTACCAGGAATAATTAATCAGCCGGGGTTGCGGGGTAAGCGCAATGAGGCACCGCGACCTCGGCCCAGAGCAGGAGAAGGAACAGAGGGGTTTTTAGTCAGTAAGAGTCTGACAATCCCTCCCGCCTGGCCCTGGGCGGGAGAAGTCATTTGATGATTCTGCCCCTAAAAAAAAACCAGGAATAATAATGTTTCAGAAAGAAAATATGTTTTTAAAATGATATTATAAGTAAAATGGTATAGAAAGGTTACATAAACAACATTCGATTTTCAAAAACGGCACACTGATGCACACATGACCAATTCGTGTGATTAGACGTCAAAGTGGGATGACACGATTCAATAATCGCTAGTGAAATAGAGACAATTATGAAAAAGTGTGGATAGTTAGTCACACTTTAATGTATCACTTGCTGAGCGCTTGTAACCTTTTTACTTATAATATCATTGTGTTTTATATACAACTTTTTATATAAAAAAGTTACACGAATAATAGATTTTTGAAGAGACAAATCATCAAATGACTTCACTCCGGCCCAGGAGCAGGAGAAGGAACGGGCTAGCGTTTTGTCCGTAAGAGTCTGACATTCCCTTTCCTCACCCAGGATAAAAGAATTCATTGAATGATTTTCTCCTTTAAAAGACCTTTTTTGTTTTTTTTTCATGGGAAAATCATCCAATGTCTTCTCCCGCCAAAGTTTAAGGCGAAAGAGAGTGTCAGACTCTTACTGACTAAAATCCCCCGTTCTCCTGCTCTGGGCTGAGGTCGCGGTGCCTCATTGCGCTTACCCCGCAACCCCAGCTGTCCTATAAAAGACCTAATACTAAAACTCCACACAAAACATAGTTAGGTATATTAGCACACCCTGTATAATTTATTCTCTATACAGGGTGGTAATAAATCAGTGTAACTATTTAAATTTAATTAAAGTTCTAACTACTGTAAGACCTAGATTCTGAGCTCTAAATCGCGTGCGACATGCATTTGAAATACGTAAGCAGGTTCTTATAAATAAACCTTGCATTATAACCATCACGCGTTTTATGCCTGAAGGTGTGGGTAGAGAAACAATAGCTTATTAAAAATAGTCCAAACTTCTAAACTAATATTATAAATGCGATAGTAATTCTGTTTGTCTGTCTATCTGTCTGTCTGTCAGCCTGTCTGTCTGTTTATCTGTCTGTCTTTTCTACACACCCAAAGTAATGAACCGATTTCTGTGAAAGTAGGTACAGACATAGTTTGGAACTCGATAGTTTTTATATAAAAATTGCGGACAAAAGCTAGTATTGCCATATATTGGGCACGATAGCAGAGTCTAATACTACGAAAATATTGAAAATAAAATATTTGACCGGCTCTGAAATCGAGCCCGAGGCCTCTTGCTAGCCATTCACATTTGCGACTACTCCAACCAACGAGGATTCTTGTATTTCATCATATCGTATGATCACCTGATGGTAAGCAATGAGGGCTATATATGTACACCGAAACGCCCGAAGAGTAACGAGTACTTAAGTTTAAAGCTAGAGTTTTAGGAATTCCAGATGATAAAAATGGGAGGACAGGGCCTGGCTCACCGGCGTGTAAGGGTAGCTCGCCGCCCGACAAGAACCAGACCCGAGCGTACGGCGCGTATCGTTCCGCGTGCGCCACCAAAAGCCAATAGACCACCACAGACGAAGACCTATAGGGCTGATGTTCAGCCGGGGTTGCGGGGTAAGCGCAGTCACCGCGGCCTCGGCCCAAAGCAGAAGAAGGAACGGGGGGTTTTTAGTCAGTAAGAGTCTGACACTCTCTCTCGCTTTTTATCCTGGGCGGGAGAAGTAATTTATTTGCTATATTAGCTATGTGCAAAACGAGTGATGGCGGACAGATAACGACCGCAGCGCATAACACGGTAGAAATTGGTAACAAATGCGGATGATCAGACTGTCGGGTTTTATTATAATATTCATTTTACAATAAAACTATTGAATAAATTGCACTTAAATAATGTCAACAATAATATTTTAATCTTTGGTTTTATTTATATTTGCAAAGAAAATTATAATGTTTACATTACTATTATTTGACATAGCTTCCGCAAATGTTGTAAACGCTACGCGTCGCCACCGTCGCGCACATAGCCAATACTTTTGAAACTAATTTCAAACTACAATAATTATGTACCAACATCATTTCAAAACTAGTTAATCAACCGTGACGCGATCACGTTAGGTCTAACCTATTCACGTATGGCAGCAGTATGCTATCAATATCCGTGACCGGATTATGGAACAATTTCAACTGAACCGTGAAGTTGTGCG